TATATATATACTGCAATTAAAATATAATAAGAGTAAAAGATTATTTTTTTTTAATGTCTTACCAGTGCCTGCTTCTCAGCATCACTCCCTGGTAGTAGGTCCTTATGCGTCCCAATTAGACTAATTGGTGGTGATGCTATCTTTCCGATAATCAATGGTTTTTCATCTGTGCCATGTAGCAGTACGGTGTGTTCGTAAATCGACCTTATCCAGAATATGATCATTTGGAGATTAGTCATCTCGAAGTGTCCCTTAAAATATATAAAAAATTATTTAAAATAAAATTAAAACAATTTAAATGTAGATAAGCCAATATATAATATTTTCCATTAAACAATGCAATTTAGTAATAGGCCTAAGATATTATTGCTTTTCATAAACAAAACTGTAATATTATAAATAATAAAATTTAAATGTGAATACATTATAAAAAAATACATCTTAAAACCAATATCATCTACACATTTAACTATGTCAAGTAGGGTTTGTTTCTGAGAAAGTTTAATCCCCATAAAGTGGTTTATTTACTTTATGAATATTTCTTGGTTTTGCAAACTCTTCCAAATCATCACACAAACTGAATACAACTCCGTAAGACGAGCGATCTGTGAGAAAAATCTGAAATACAATTAGTAAATACGCATTTTAACAACATTAGAACTAACATGAGAATTTCAGCAAAATACATATAAGAAAACATTACACATGGGGATGTCACAAAATGTATTTGATGATGTCTGGCTATTTAAATATGAATTGTATTTCCGTGGCTAAGAAACAGTTTTATAACAGGTGTGGCACCAGGGATGTTACCGACGGCGGACCAATATCCCCGACTGTGGGGGTGGTGGTCAGACGTTTCTCAACAGTTGACCTTTTAGGAATTTAGGGGTTTCAAGGACTTATTTAATCGATTTCAGATTATAATGTAGAAAAAAACATAGATTTTTATCTTCCCGACGAATTGGGGTTTTTCTTCCCGACGGGGTGGGGGGGGTGGTGGGAGCATTGGTATCGTATAGTTTTAATTAATCACCTACCCGGTGTGTAATGTAGTAAGTCATCTGACCGGCATAGTCCCATATGCAAGTTATATCACGCGGTCCGGAGCTCTTGTTAGCAAGATTGTCAACAATCTTCTTGCGTATTTCATATGTCATAAACTGAGTGGTTGATTCTCTCGTGTTATCATGAGATACAGATTTTTCTGAAAATAAATAAGAATAAATTTTACAAATAGCTAAACAACGAAAAAAGAAAGGTGTAATATAATAACAATTATGATGGTGGTGATGACAATAATAATGATGCTAATGACAACGAAAACGATGATAATGATGGCAATGATGATTGTGATGATGAATGTGTCGTCGTCGACGACGACGACGATGATGATAATTATAATAGTGAAGATGAAATGATGATGATGATGATGTTGATGATGATGATAATGATGATGTTGTTGATGATGATTATAATTAATTTAATGTGGATGATGACGGTGATGAAGAGGTAGAGTTACTTTCACTTATAATGAGAATGTAATGATGATGGTGATGTGTGTGCTGATGGTGAAGATGCTGATGAAGATAATCATAGAAATAATATTAATATTATTAATACCTCGGCCTCTCTTTTGCAAAGTCGGAAGCATAACACCTTCTGGTAATTGAAACTGTAATTTAACAATAAGTCAATTATTTTAACAATTTTATTAATATCTCATTTAAATATGATACAGCATAGCAATCTCTACATTATACGGTAACTTATTTTATGCTATTTAAAAATCTCAATATTACCAAATTCTGTCTTTATTAATTCATACAATTAGGCGTACATTATTCAACTTAACATTAATAGTCATTTCAGTCAATAGATTTTCTTTAACGAACAAACCTAAATTATTACCAGGCACTGTTCTCTGTTGGGGTCCTTACAGCTTTATAATCAAGTCAGTTTTATGACGCGAGTAAACAAGATTGAACCAGTTGTGGTCCTTGCATATACGTAGTATATTTGCTGTCTGTTTAGTCTACTTTATATATGTACCTATGCACAGTATAGTTAAATACACTTATATCTTTTCTATGGTATGTGTAGTTCATATGGATAGACCAGTTCATGGTCAATTTCCTCTACCCCCTTGGTGTGCAGGGGCGGATTTCCGCCCCCCACACCCCCTTTTTTTGGGAGATAAAAAAAAGGGAAAAAAGAAAGAAAAAGAAAAAAATTATAGCCCAGAACGCCTCAAATGTTATTTTCGGGCGTCAGAACACAGAAAATTTCGTGTGGGCGTGCCCCCGGACACCCTAGGACAGTGTTGTCTCGATCGGCCCAACTTTTGGCCCCCTTTCGGCCCCCTTTTTGGACATCTCTGGATCCGCCACTGGTGTGGATACCTAGTGTGTGATGTATATGTATGTAAAGTTCGCAACTACTCTGTAACTTTATATACTTTACACATATTACCTTTAAGTAAGACTCGTATGTATTTTTATTATGGGCCTATATATTGCCACAATTCCTGTATGTTTATGTAGATTCGTTTGAACATTTTTATGTTAAGGACACGAGGGTAGGTGGAAATATTTGTTTGCAGATTGAGATACAAAATGCAAGATCTATTCTCCTTACATACGATAGTAACTTTGGTATCTATTCTAGTTATTATTATTAATATTATTATTATTGTTACAGTGATTGATTGATTGATTAGCGTGTGTAATATCAATTTAACGAATAATTACAAACAAAACGGATTCAGAATATATTCAGTTTATATACGATAAATACATTACCAAACATTTTCATAACATACATACAGGTAGTGGTTAATATACGAAATGCTAAAAACAATAAATTTCTGAGTTTCCCACAGCAACAACTTTACTACAGAAAGTTACAAGTAAACCTACATACGCACACTTAACACGAAAGTGGTAATGTTAAAACCAACTGAAAAGATTGAATCAGTGGTGGTCCTTAAATATACGTAGTATATTGGTGTCTTTTTGTCTACATATACAGTTAATTACACTTATATCTTTTCTATAGTATGTTTAGTTCATATGGAAAGGCAGTGCATGGTAAGTTTCCCCCCCCCCACCCCTTGGTGTGGATACCTAGTGTGTGATAGTACTATGTACCTTAAAGTTCACAACGACTCCAGTTCTTTATATATTTTACACATATAACCTTTAGGTAAGACTCAACATACGGGGTGACGTCTTTAAATAGATATTCTGTTGTTACAGAAATGATTATGCACCACATAATTATTACTGTCAAAATATTATGTGCATATAATTAATTCCGTTGTTACAGAAATAATTAAAGTATGTTCCACAAAATCTGCCTCCATTGGTGTGGATGCCTAGTGTGTAATAGTACGTATGTAACGTTTAAAAATCACAACGACTCCATTACATTCACAACGACCTCATTACTTTATAATCTTTAATACACATAGAGCTTTTAGGTCAGACTCGTATATATTTTTTATTATACATACGCCTACTGCCACACTTGCTGTATCTTTATGTAGATTCGTTTGAATATTTTTATGGACACGAGGATAGGTGGAAATATTTGTGTGCAGATTGAAATACAAAATGCAAGATCTATTCTCCTTACATACGATAGTAACTTTGGTATCTATTCTAATTATTATGATTAATATTATTATTGTTACAGTGATTGATTGATTAGCGTGTGTAATATCAATTTAACGAATAATTACAAACAAAACGGATTCAGAATATATTCAGTTTATATACGATAAATACATTACCAAACATTTTCATAACATACATACAGGTAGTGGTTAATATACGAAATGCTAAAAACAATAAATTTCTGAGTTTCCCACAGCAACAACTTTACTACAGAAAGTTACAAGTAAACCTACATACGCACACTTAACACGAAAGTGGTAATGTTAAAACCAACTGAAAAGATTGAATCAGAGTATTTGCTTGGTTAGGTCACAAACTGTACACATTATAAAATTACCCATGAAAATGAGGTCATTATATTAAAGTATATCATTAAAAGCTAATCAATCATTTAAACCCTGAATTTATTAAAATTATTGCATAGTGATGTGGCTTAGCTGATTGCACGTCCATAAATAGGCGGATTATTGGTTCAGGCAGGGCTTTTTTTAAGTTTAAGCTGAGTGTTGCTGAGAAGTAATGTTATTGTTTCCTGTGCTGTAGAATTTGAGTCTGGTCGCTCGACTCCTTAAATAATCATCACAGTGAAAGTTAGGGAAGGACCATGTTTGTATCCGTTACATCGTGTGTGGCTGCCACGAATACTAGAATTTCCAGCCCGAATATCCAATTTCCAATTTTAATGAGGACAAATAAAGAATGAATGTTGTCAAATAAGTGTTATTATTACTATTAATTTATTATTATTATTATTATTATTATTATTATTATTATTATTATTATTATTATTATTATTATAATTATTACTATTATATCATTTAGGTTTATTATAATAAATCATACCATCCACATCCTTCTGTTCCTCCCATTTGATGTAATTTTTGCCTACACTTTGAAAGACAGTAGTTGTAACAATACCAGCAGTAGAAGGCTCATGCTTATCAAATCTATTAATTGAAGTTTGACATCGTCATTATAGAAATGTATAATACTTTCATTATCAACATCAACGATAACAATAATAACATACATAAATAATAACGAAAACAATGGTAAATAATAATATTCCTGATGACAAAATTAATGTCGAAATATTGACGGCGACGACGACGACAACAACAACAACAACAACAATAGGTAATTAATAATAATAATATTAATAATAATAATTATTATTATTATTACAGTGATTGATTTACTATCGTGTGTAATATCAATTAACGAATAATTACAACAATCAAAACGGATTCAGAATATATATTACAGTTTACATATGATAAATAAATTACAAACATTTCACTAACATAGGCCTACCTGTAGTTTATTAATTTTCGAAATGCTAAAAATAACAATAAATTTCGTAGTTGCTATTATTAAATCCCAATTACATATAAAGGCCGTGTCATCCGCCACTCGACCCCGTCACCTAGCAACAACTTTACTTCAGAAAGTTACAAGTAAACTTACACGCGCACACTAGCGCGTGCATGTTAAAAGTTGAGTAGAAAACGAACGTACACTGTAATGTAAAAACCAACTGAAAAAAGCAAGCAAAGTAAATCGATATAAAGTACAAAACCTAATACATCCGATTGTACTTACTCTTTCCCAAGCATGGCTTTGACACAAGATGATTTTCCAGAACCCTCGTTACCTAGGAACATCAGTCTTGAATTAACAACTGTTATTTCACCGTTTTTAAGTGCATCTTTGAATGCTTTGACCGCATCGGGACCCCTGGCTAAAATCTCTGACGGAATTGATAGTTCTATTTCATTCAAAAAAGAAAAAAGCAAAGAAAAAAAATCAAATACTTTAATAATTTAATTCACTTTCTAAATTACATGTATTTTAATTAATTGCGATAACGTTTTTTTTTTTACAATAATAATAACAAAACGGAAATAATATATTCTTATATATTCATTAAATGGCTCCTTATTGTGTCGAATTATTATAAAATAATAGAAAAAGAATGTGTAAGATAAGTGTTATCATACCTTTAAGTAAATTTTTTAATTTTGTCTTTTTCTCTCTTCTTGTGGATTCTTCGTATCTTTCACATTCGTTATCATCATAGTAATCAAGAGGCGTCTTTCCAGACTGCAATAACAGACACGAGCACGAGATGATTCGTTTCATTGCACGACGGTTGCAAATTAAATCAACAGAAAACAGTGGCATATTTGGTTTAATAACCAATGATATAATAATAAAATGGTAAATAATAATTTAAATATCAACACTATTAGCATTACAACTTTATAACTATTGTTGTAAATTACTATCACATCACATCGGAAATAAAAATATTCATTGAAATCATACTTCAAAAAGAATCATCATTATTTACTATGATATTAATCGATTTAATACTTATATGAATTTATATTTATTACATTGGTTTTAATTAGTAAAAATGTTTCAAGTAGTTTCATATACAGTTGTTGTATTCAGGTCATTGACTGATATTCTTTTGATGCATTTCATTTTTCTGTACATTACATTATCTTTTATTGTCACCGACGCGCCAAAGGTGATATTGAGAATTGCGAGTTCCTTGTGTTGCTCGTGCGTCAGCTCCCAATCACGTAGACACCACAGTAAGCGTGGTTCCCACTAGGACGTACACTCAACGCAACTGACGCAACGTAAGAATATGCTCTTCCAACAAAGTCGCACCCCCCTCTTTGCGAAAAGTTGAAATTTCGCTGTAAAGCTTGGTTGCGTCAACACAACACGTAAGAAAAGTACATGGTTCCCATTTGGCGACGTAACGACGCAGGGTGAGCGGGAAATTCGATGTCTTTGCAAAATACTGTGCAGCGCGCGACAGCAGGCCCTACTGAGAAGTGACAACATGCCGAAAAACAACGACAGAGAATTTGCAAGAATATGTATAGCCTATAGGCCCTACTGTATCTTTTATGGAAGCGGAAGAGAAGAATAAGACTAAACAAAGGAGACAATTTTGGGTGCGTGAAATATTTCAAGAAAGAAATTTACATGGCCAGTTTAAAACAACATTCTTATCATTGAAAGCCACCGACCGAGAATATTTTTTCAGGTGAGTACTATAGCCTGGCCTAGCCTAGGCCTAGTTAGTACTAGTAGAGTAGGAGGGCCTGGCATAGGCGGTCTAGGCCTAAGCCTACGCTAGGGCATCCTGTGAATATTTCCATTGTTGGTGCCTAGCTTTAATGAACCTCTGCAAATTAGAATCTATGAATTTTACTCATAGCCTAATGATTACATATTATTATTATTATTATATTAATATTATTATAAGCCTAGGTGCCAACATTATCTTTTTAATGAGTGAGGGTTTTTAAGAAGGGAAAAAGCTAGCCAGTGCAGTGGTGGTAGGCCTACCTCCAGCGGAGGCCTACTGTTTTCCCCTACCCAAGCAGTCAACTCAGCCCCAATTAAACCACATTAAAACCACATTTAAGTATTTTAAATTGTTGACGTTGGTATTTTTTTTTTACATTTACAATACATACATTATAAAAATAAGGAAACCTGCATTAAATATGAATATTAAAATAATATTAATAGTAATAATAACAATATAAAAAGGCATATTATTAGCTGTATCTAATGATATGATTACAATAGTAACAACATAATTATGACAATACTTAATGAGTTATATAGACATAATAATGTATAAATATGAATACATAATAATGTATACATATTTAAATATACCTATAATTATTATTATGTAAAATAAATATGCCTGTATACTATATATATATATATATTTGATTCAAGGGAAGCTTCATTTCAAATGAGGCTCTACAGGGGGTTTATTCGAGTAAAGCATTTATTTAAATATATACGGTATAAGGCCAGGCCTATGTTAATGTAATTTAAATAAAACCATAACACAGTTCCTTTTTATATTTCATTTAGGTATTCTCGTATGAGTCCTGAGAGGTTCGATCACCTGTTGAGTTTAATACAACATCTTCTGGAGAAAAAAAACAACAAAACTAAGGAAACCAATCAGTGCCAATAATAACGTTGAGATACCTAGCTACTGGCGATCAACAGAGTTCGCAGTCATTTAACTTCTTGGTTGGTAGATCCACTGTCTGCAAAATAATCAGAGAGACGTGCCAAGCAATCTGGAGTGTGTTGCAGCCATTATATATGGCAATGCTACACATTTCCGATCATTGGAAAAACATAGCTCAAGCCTATGAAGATACTTGGAATTTTCCTCATGTCATTGGAGCAATTGACAGCAAACATATCAATATTGAATGCCCAAAATTCGGAGGTTCAATGTATTATAACTACAAACAGTTCCACTCGTCTGTTCTTTTGGCATTATGTGGTGCCAGGTATGCATTCACCTACGTCAATATTGGTAGTTATGGCGGTATGAATGATGCCAGCATTTTCAATCGATCAAAGTTGCATGAAGAACTTCAAAATGGCACATTTCCCTTGCCAGTACCAGAAAACTCAAGACCATATTTTATTTTGGGGGATGATATATTTCCCCTCAAACCCTGGCTAATGAAACCATATTCAGGAAAAGATTTGTCCTTCGAATCAAGGGTGATCAATTACAGGCTCTCAAGAGCCAGGAGAACAATTGAAAATTCATTTGGGATTCTAGCAGCACGATGGAGGATATTCCGTCGCCCAGTCCGTGCCGATATTAGCACAGTTGATGACAATATTAAAGCCACGTTGTGTTTGCATAACTACTTAATAAAACAGAAAATGCTAGGTACAGCCCAAGTGGCTTTGTGGACTGCTATGATGGAGGTGAGCTTAAAGAAGGAGAGTGGCGCAATGTGGTAGAAGGTGACAACGGCATGGGAGCATTACAGGCAAATCATGCTAATAACTATTCATTTGATGCTAAAATGATCAGAGACAATCTGCGTGAATACGTAAACTCTGTAGATGGGTCAGTAGCATGGCAAAATGAAACAGTTTCCTATTGTGGGCGAAAGACATAGTCTTTCATCCATCTCATGGATTTCCAGATGGAACATGAACACTCGTTAAGTAAATGACAGATTACATACATTTTGACTTAAATTGATAAATCAAAACCATATGGTAGCTTATTATATTTATTTAAACTTATTTTTTTTAAAGATCATCAGAGATGGGCAGAAAAAATAACATTTTATTGGTGAATGTAAACTGTATATACAGTAATTAAGAAGAAATATACATATCTTATTTTTGAGATATTGAGGCAGCAGTGGGCATAATCAAAATTAAAAAAAAAATCTTTTCTGAAATGTTCGTGACAGGGTTGTGCTAATTTGCCACTAAAGTTTTATGTTTATTCGAAACCATTATTAGCAGTTGATACAAATGGGTTTGCTAAAAAAAATGGCTAAATCTGCTTTGCAAAAATTTATATATATAAGATTAAATGGTACTACTTGATCCATATTAGGATCGGAGTGTTAGTTTCTATGTTAAGAGATATGCAATGTCTAATGTTTATGACAATTTTTGATCAGTGGTTTGTATGTTATAATAAATGTTTGTTATTTAACATATAGTATCTAGAAATGCTGTATTGTGCTACTTTCATTATGGTTTGTCACTTATTAAATTAACCCTACATTAAAGAAACAACATCTAAATCTAGTACTGTATTGATGAAAAATTCTTGTATTCTTTACCTAAATAGACCTATTTAATTTTTTGGAATTAGGCCTATGATAAATTTCTATAGCAACTACAGATATGTTGTGCTACTTGAAGTGTTAAACTATCCTGGTATTCCCCTAAATTAAAAAATCTAGCCTAGGGAATTAAAAGATATTTTAATGTCATTGTCAAATTGAAAATCAGAATCCAGATAATTTTATAAATATTTTTTACATTTTATTTTCAATAATAATACACATTGATTGGCAACTGGTAAATAACTCTGAAAATATGAACGACAAATTTACTCTATGCAAGGCTGTATTGTACACAAAAGTTTTCTAGGTATACAGTGGCAACATTATACTGTATATTCACATCAACAACTACTTTGGAAATAAAAACTATCTGCAGCAAATCCCAGGAAAGATAAAATTGCATTGGATTGATACAAGATGGTAAATGATAAGTAAATATACAATACATACACAAACATCACAGTCCATATATACATACAAACGAAAATAAAATGGTTTAAAACAAGTAAAGAAAACACATTTTGTAAGGAAACATTTAAATTTCATAAAATTGTTCACTGCCTTTATCATAAAGGCAGGGATATTCTCGCACAATTTCCATGAACTCTGACTCCTTTGTGGAAACCATGATGACGTTCCTTTTAAGACGACCCAGTTGTTGTTTTGCAATTGACTGAGCGTGCGTAGATGAGGCTTTTTCTTGCGTTTGCCTCTTGCGTTGACGTAAAATTCAAACCGGTTTGAATTTCCGCTATCGACGCAATTTCTGTCGCAAGGGACGCAACACTCTACGAAAAGTTGAACTGCGTATGAGTAGCGTCGATGTTGCGTTGCGTTGCCTAGTTTGCGTCGTCGGTTCCCACTTGGAAGCCGCAATACCCTCGCGTTGCGTCACTTTGCGTCGATACGTCGCGTTTGCGTCGCTGCGTTGCGTCCTAGTGGGAACCAAGCTGTAGTGGTGTCCATCCACGCTGCAATGAAATGATAATCAACGTCAAGTTTGTTGAACACGCACAACACAAGAATATCAATTAAAAAATATTACGCAAACGTAAAAGTCTGTCTCTTATACACATCTAGATGTGTATAAGAGACAGGTTATACATACTTTTCCCGACACAAAAATAACTTGTTAAAAAGGATATTATTGAAATATGGCTTTTTATATTATAATACATGACGGGCAGTACTTAGTACAGTAGTTAGAATTATACAACGATAAAAAAACTATCTCAACCCAGTTGTAAATATAATAGGCCCTAAATTATTATTAATACAATAATATTAGATTACTATTACAAAATTAGAACGTGATGTATTGAATGTGTTTGTGAGTGAATTAATGTTAATTTGTTAGCAATGAATAAAGTGTTGTTTTCTTCTACTGTACTCACGTTGTCTTGCGTGTTAATCTTCTTGTTGGTTTTTTCCAACACGCGTCTCATTGCTGACACGCGTGCGTTGTCCGCCAATAAATGGAGAATAGTGAGACCAAGAGCAGACTACAAGACAAACGTAGAATATGATGAGAAAGAAATAATAAACAACAACAAGAAACTATACACACACCACATATCAACAACACATAACAACTCACAAACATCACACATACATTACTTATTACATTCATAATTATTAAATACTAATTACTTTATTTAATATTTTTATAACGTGGTTTTTTAGGCGAAATCGCGCAAAAAATACTTGTATTAATTGGCCTATGTTTTACACACACTATTAAATTATTTCCAAATTGAGATTTTTAGCGAAAATACTTTTTGTGAAAAATATCAATTTTATGGTCACCAGTGTATTCAGTAAACTGTATTAAGCAGAACAAATCCAAACATCACCATTTTTGTAAGTGTAATATGTATTTTTTCACAATGTTTCATATGAAATAGTGATAATGACCATAACATAGGCTTTTTCTGTGTTGTAAAATATGTCAAATAAATCATGAAATAAAAGTCTCATTTTTAACCCAACATGAAATAAATCACTTTGAGTTATTTGTATGTTTTATGATGTGTACACATGTTGTGTGCTTGTCATGTTTAAAATGCAATGATATTTAATTCCACTCACCACCCTGTGTTCTAAACACTCAACTGTTGCCGTTTCAATCATATTCTCCAACACATCATCTGGTGCTCCCCGATGCACAGCGTGCATTAATGGCGTCCAGTCGTACTACGAAAACAAACATTACACTGAATTACGATACAGTTCATACAACTATCAACAATACTTTTTACGCGTTTCATAATTTCAATCGTACGATGATATTCCAATATCATTTAAGAACTACTAAATTATAAATAGTTAAAAATGAGTGTTGTAATACACACATTCATTTGAATATATTATATTGATTTTATTTACGATAAATTTTTGGTCCTTTTTTCACAATTATTAAGAGTTAAAATAAGATTAACAAAAATACTGTAATGTTATTTATAAGTGTTTTGGAAAAGGGAATAAGGTACTGTGTCAGTGAATATGTCGAGACATAACTTTTACTGTAGTTGTTGAGTCATGGTTTATGTTTAGTATGTTAAAAAATGATATTACTGTACTAATAATAGGCCTTTTACTTAGCATGTCTATATTTTGTCAGTACAGTAGTATAGTAGGTCCCTATTATATTTCCTTGTAAACTGTTTTTGAGTGAACCATGAAACTATTGATAAGCTATTTTGAAAAGGGAGTACGTTACTGTGTCAGTGAATAGGTCTAAACATAAACGTATAGTTGTTGGACCATGGTTATGTGTTTAGTATTTAAAAATTAAAAAAATTATATTAGCATGTCTATGTTTTGTCAGTACAGTTTAGTAGGCCCTATGCCTTGGAAATTGTTCGTGCGTGAACCACGTAACATTTTATAAAACAGGAGAATACTTGACAACGGCGCGACGGTGTAAATGATTTTAATTTTATTTTTTTAAATTTTTAAAATTTTTTTTTATAGGCCTACTCATTAACTAAAAAGAAGTAGGAACAATTAGATTTGATAAATCATTTAGTATGAAAGTCCCTAGACTAAATACCGTATGGCCAATTTAGTAGTTTACGCCAAAACTATTAGAACGTATTATTTTTGTACGTCTGTAAAATAATGGTTTATTTTTTTATTTTCGAAAAAAATCATTAGTTTATCACCCCTACATCCTCACTTTTAGGAAAATTCTTTTGACAGTGACAATCAGTTATTTAAATATAACATGTGATCAAATTATTAATATAATACTATTTTTTTAAATTCATTTAATTAATGGACTTTTTCTTGAGAAATGAAAATGATATTAACAATTAAATGATGTGGATTTACTAATGAATTTAGATAAAATATTAACCAGAATAAATCAATACATAAGAACTTAATGCAAAAAAAAAAAAAAAAAAAAACCTCCCTCCCTCATCAGTTTTTATTCGTTGATAG